TCATTAGTCTAATAAGATACAGAACAGTAGGATATAAAACTACATTTCATTTCATTAGTACAATAAGATACAGAACAGTAGGATATAAAACTTCATTTCATTTCATTAGTCCAATAAGATACAGAACAGTAGGATATAAAACTACGTTTCATTTCATTAGTTCAATAAGATACAGAACAGTAGGATATAAAATTTGCTAAAGTAAAATCCTTTTATTATATTTGTTCAATAAAGTTTAGACAGGGGGGGGTAAAATTGATTATTTTAATATTATTTATAATTTATTTTATAGTGGGACTCTGTGACAGTATAATATAAGTAGGTCACGTAATTTATAAAACCCTATTTACTGCCTTTGTTAAATATTATTAAAAGGGAATATCTAAAAATAACACTACTTAGTAAAGTTGGATGTCGGTAAGCAGGGTCCGAAATATTCTTCTGGGTGTAGAGGTGTTTAGGAGGGCAGGCGGGGTTGGGTTTGGAGGGGGTGGCTTCTCTGTACATGTGGATACCTTAAAGCATATCTTTGATGATATATTTTGCCTTTAAAAAAACCTCGTATATTTGTCGTACGAAATGTTTTGAGCAAAAACACAAGGAGACAGAATAGAAGAGGGGAGAGAGGGGGTTTCAGTCTCTCTGATTTATTTTGGCCACTTAAATCTGTCGAAAATATTCTCACCTTTGACCTTTTACCTTTATATAATTAGTCTTCCCATGAGTTATAGACAAGTGCCCTGACGACATTTCCCCCATTGTATAACGCATAGTGTTGCCATTCTTAAAATCAGTTTCACTCCACTAGTAGAACAGTAGGATGTAAAACTTCAATTAAGTTTGAATTTATCTTTACACAAATGTGAAATATTTGGGTAGGATTGTCAAGTTAAAAACAAACAAGTTTCAAGAATTCCATCTTATAATGTATACTAGAAAACAACATACTAATTGGAGATATGCCTGAATAGATAGTAACGAGTGACACCGATCGTATTTGATCTATTTATCAACCTTGTTCGACCACTCACTCCTATCGTACCTTTACCTTGTTATCAAGTACCTTGCATTTATCTATTTCGTGATATACATCCACGCTTCCACGGTAGCTACCTATACTTCTAATTTTGACGAATTTTATTCATTCAAGGGCGATAACTCTAGGACTTGTTGTTACCCTCCAACGCATCGATTAGAAAATACATTTTCAGTAATCCGACACTTCAAACCCTCGTTTGACACCCATCCACGCACAAACCCTTACCCCTAAGCTATTCGATCTAGATCCCCGGTACACTACTTGGCGTGTTTTCATCCCCTGGGGGTGTGGCACTAGGGTGTCAGGGATGTGGTCAACTGGTGTAGGAGAAAAAAAATTATTTTGAATTGAGAGAGCACCTCACAATAACACATGCTGGAAATGTAGATGAAACAAATTTTTGGGAGTGTGAAAGGTCCAATTGATTGCTGCAGGGGTGTGAAGGCTAGAAGGCCGGGACCCACTAATGTAGATCATTCAGGTTGGAAAAGAACTGTCTCATAGAACACCCACCTACACGTTTGTACCACCACCCACCCCCCTCCATCACGTCCGTAGTCCAATACGACAGGGAAGTATTTTGCGCATTTGTTTTAGTTTGTGAATGAGTAAGAGATCACCCACTGTCAAATTTCATGTCAAACTACCAACTTGAAACATTTAAACTGATAAATAGAAAGCGTGAAAGATGTCATCCTCCTACACCAGGTTGTTTTACTGTCGACCTGTCAGTTTCTGACCTGGATACCAGTTTTTTTGACATGAGGTATATCATCATCATACAAGTATTCGTCATAGTCACAAGTCAGCAAGGTCGTTGTCGTTTCTGAGTGAGGTACTGGTAGGCATTAGATGTGAGAAAATTGTTATTTATGTGGTCTATCTGAAAGTAATTCAGAATAAGAACAGAAGAAAACCCAATATCAAGACCCTTAATCCTAATTTCTAAATAAAGTGTCTGCTCCACCCTAGGCCTGTACATTTGGGAGAATGAAACCCTCCCTTCCCCGAAATCTAAGTTGTCAAACCTAGACACCAGATGAACATTATTAGCCATTTGGACTCACTGAAAGCGATACTTGATAAAACCTTTTATTAAAAATAACTTTATTGGCTGGTTTTTCTGAAAAAATATACCCATAAACTGGCTTGACTCGAGTTAGTTCTCCATGTAATTTAATGCAGTGGTTACTCGTTCAAATCACTATCTTATATTTGTTCACTTGAAAATGGCAAGGAAAATCCTTATATCCTCCTACAAATTATTCAAATTATCCGATATTCCTAACATACATCACGATCAACTGTTCAATAAAACTTTTAAACAATTCTGGTCGAGATGACCTTAAAATTATCCACACTCCAACAACCAAGATGTATTTAGCTACATAGGAGCTACATGTATATCGTATTATTACCTGTTACAACAACCAACAGTCTCTTTCTGCTATATATATCCAATAGGATTGTTTCCATTGTTACATTGTTGACCTTAGTTTTGAAGTCCTCAGCAGTTAATATAATTTTTATGGCGGATGAATTAGTACAGAGTCACAATGGGTATTCAGTGGACAGAACTGAAGCTTGTTTGACTTTCGCCTCTCATTCTCAACTGAGTTCTTACATTATTGATTATGAGAGCACCCCCTTGGCATTTCTGTGACCTAACTTTCCCTACCCAATGAATCATTTAAGCGCTTCTGGGGGTATATTCAACAAGTTTCAGTATTGGATAAATTATAAACCATGTTCTGATTGTTTCAACAGATTGTTTGTGGACACTGATAAGTCAAGTCGGCACCTTCATCACAATAAAACCGTCCTCCGAGCTTCCGATACTGTGAGACTTCTCACGAGCTGGAGGCTCTGCGAACTCGTCCACCTCTTCCGAATCGGACACAACTGGTGAAGTGTTCACTGACATTCCCATCGTGGATGCCGAGATCCGTCTATCGTCCATTACACTGAGTCGACTCTTATTGGAATGTGCTGAAGTCTTGCGTTCATCCGCCACTTTGGGTTCGGATTGTTTGTTATTACCACCGTTTCCGGTTGCGTTTCCGGTCATTGAAATGTACTGAGACGTATCCAGTTCCTCCGATCCGGACTCACATATCTTCTGATGTTTTCCCGGGTTTGTAACAATGTTCCCTTCATCGGAAGAGTTACTGGACAAGGAGATGATGTCCTCGGATCTTTGCAACCGACTGTGATTTGGAGACATTTCTAATAGATTATAAGACGAGCGTCGTCTACTCATATTGTATTTTGGTTCATCTGGACTCAAACAATCTTTTGTGATATCCGGTTCAACAGTGTTCGAAGTGTTCGACTTATTTGAAATCTTTCGTTCACGACCTTTGGTATTAAACATTTCCAAGTCACCGATGCCTACTTCACTGTCCGGTGAAACTTTTCGTGATCGCGGCGACCATTTAACTATGCCTCCAACCAAGGACGACACTGAAGTCTTCCGCTTTCCGGAACTCGGCGGACTCAATTGTAGTGATTCGGTACTAGCCATTTTCCGGAAGCGATTCGCTGAGTATAAGCTTCCGGTTGGATTGGCAGCCATCATGTCTTCCCGGATTTCGGAGATAGGTCGACTGACGGCGTAATGACTAGATACCTTATTGGAAACTGGTTCGTGACACCGTACCGGTTCGGCTGCTAGCTCCGTTTCATCACACTGCGAATTGAGGTCTATCTCGGTCATCTGCGAGTTGGCACACTCTTTCTCGTTACGGGCAAGACCTGGTACCCACGGCACGTAAACATTCTCTCTTGGTTCTTTTGAGTGCCTTTTGTTATCCGTTTCTTTGCCTTTGTCCACATTTCCAGCACCTTTATCCATGGAAGCTGCTCCACCAGTAGCTGATCCTCCAGAAGCCCCTTTAGAGCTCTTAGCTTCTTTCGTTGGTTTCTTCTTCTTCTTAGCTGTCGCGTATGGACTGCTTCCGTCCTGAGTAGGAACATCAAATCCTATATTTGAGAAAATTCCGTTTCCAAAAGGTATTGGACGTCCAAACGTTTCACTATTGGTAGCCAAGTAGACGTTGTTGTCAAAGGCTGGTTCTCTTGGAGGGGTTTCGGGGATGGGCTCGCCAGAAGATGTTCGCTTCAGTGCCTTGTTGATTTTATACTTCTTTCTGAAATATTCATTAAATGTAAACACTTTAAAGCCAGTTAAAAAATACTGTTATGTGGGAAATAAAAATAAGATTCGACGTACAACATCACGCCAGAAAAGTCCCACAACATGCCAGATTGTTAAGGCTATAAGTACAGACGGTATTTTGTCCTCCACTAAAGGCTCGGCACATTAAATATGTTCCTACCTTTTACTGGTCCAAATGACTAGAGCTATTAGTAAAGAAGCTATGATGACCGTCAGTACGATGGCTATAACAATGATGTACCAATTACTCGACTGAAATAGACAAACAAATACATCAGTAGAATCTAATACACCAACATAAAGACAGGAGGTAGCAAACCTTCCTAATCTTAAATGTGGATATATTGATATTGATAAAGTTTGGAATTCAAAATAAATTAAATCATAACGCACCTGTTCCTCATCTACTTTAGCTGCTGGTTCAGGAATATCTGAAAGTAATTTAATGATATTTGATAACATAAATTGATACCAGTGCTGAATTTCAGTTTCGTTCAATAATGGTGTGGATTTATGCGACTACTCGTGCTTAGAAGCTCTACCTATCAATACATTCTTCTACAGTTTCATTTGCTATGTTCATTAGTTTCTTGCTGTGTCTCGGTGAGGTTGTGAACCTATCACTGATAGTATCAGAGAGGTTGACAAATCAACAATGGCCGAGAATGAAGCTGTAAAACTTACCTGTATGTCCAGAGGACTTGTATTCCGGAAGTAACACAGAATCCAGAGTTGTAACGGTCATGGACTCCTGGGTAGTCATCATCAACTCACAGTTCGTACCCACATACGGATCGTCGCAGAAGCAAACGTAACCAGAGTCTGTATCAACACATGATCCACCGTTCTGGCAGGGATTACTCGGGCAGCCTGGTACTCGATACTGACAAAATAAACCTGAAAATATCCAAAGAACTTTATTAGGATCAATTCCATTCCAAAGTATATAGCAGGTAATCCAAGTCCATAACTATTGCAACCCTCGTAACATAACATCTTTATGGCTCCTGTGAGATTGCCTTCAAGCAGGACATTAAACGGTGCTGAAAAGTAGGAAATAAAACTGTAACCTAATTCGTATCTTCGATTCCCAAAATAATTAATCCAAACGAACACGACAATATTGAGAAACCAACAGCTATCAAAGCTTATCCAAGTTGCTTTAGGATCGCAAAGACCATTAAAGTGTTATTCCACTGTTCATCGTGTACATTTTACTGGCTTACGCAGCTCAAAATTTCCATCTATCATGTTTCATATGTGACACATTAGACTGAGGTACATGAACATTGAAATGATATGTGAATTATGTTGATAATCTCTTCACAAGTCAGTAACACTATGCTTTAATCTGCAACTCTGACTCCCTCACTGTGGTAACTATTTCTAATACTTCATCAGTTCGACATGCGGAAGGGGTTTGTGGTAAAGGTGAAATTGTATACAACTATTGGAAGGTGGACAATTGTACCGAGGCTGGATGATATGCCTCCAGATAGCTAAAGCATTTTTTTCTACTGATCGATTTGTGTCAATGCTATTATTTTATAGTAGAAAGAACAAAAAGATTTTGAAAATGGATTTTATTTATGTCCTGCTGTTCCGATCCTGATTGAGCCAAAGACAATTCACAAGGCCAAGACTATTATCAATGAACAAATACCAATTGATGCCGTCAGACTCTGAGAGCAGGGGTGTATTTATATCTCAGGGGCTAGCTATGGTACGAATACATGGGTTGTCTCCCTGTAATTATATACTTGCCTGTGAAGCCGGGTTGGCAGATACACTCGTATTCACCAGGAAGATTCTTACAACCGGCTTCATTTTGACATACTCCCTGATCACATTCATTGATATCTTCCTTACAATCCACACCTTGCCAACCTGAAAATGGATCCATAACTATTTGTACACAATCCAGATCAAAGGTTGAAGATTTTCGATTGAATTTACACGATCGCTTATTTTGGGACTAATACTGAGTCGTTAACAAAGATTGAAAGAGACTGTGAGGACCGGCAACTCTGTATGAAAGATTGCTCTGTCCCTGTGTATCGGTGTATCGGTGAACTGAATGATAATAAACGACTGTTACTGCTACAACCGAAGTGAAGTGACTACATATGTAATCATTTCCCGCCACTTCTGCAAAGTATACGTAAGGGAAGTAACCCAATTATATTTACCATGTGTACATTCTTTCTCTCCGGTCAAATGATTACACATAAAATGTTCAGTAGGGTCTTCAATCTGACAGTGTGTTGAACAGTTGTTGTCATAGTAACTGGCATCGCAGAATAGATTTACTTGTAACCACAATCTGGAAAATACCAATAAAATCTGGTCAAATTACTGAATCACTTAGGGCTGACCAAAAGAAGCTATCTATCCTTTGTAAGTGTATTAATACTATCGACGTCTGTGGTTCGTGATATTCCAGATTATGACGTCATTACAAATATCATTGTGCTTGAATAACCATTGTTGAAAATGTCTTCATAATTTGTCTGGAAATCGGAATATGGTCATTGGTTTGAGAACTATGTCGAGAGTAACCATGATTTTGTAAAACACTGTATGGGCTTACCTATTGCGTTGATGTATAGTGACATCCTGTGGTAGTGTGGACCATCTGTCTTTCCCAGGTTCATTGGTATAGTTCACCATGACCTCCTCCTGGCATTGATCTTGTAATCGTGGTATAGAAGGACAGCAGGATATATACACCTTGATTCTTATACCACCCTGAAAATAGTAAAAAATATATTAATATACATCTACGTCCGATTCAAAAATAGCCGTAACGCTTTTCATAATTATAATTCGATGGCTTGTTACTCAACAATTAAACGTATAAGTTTATCGTAATTTCTGGAATTTTTTGTCAATTACGTCTTAATAAGCAAATAATTTACATGGTCAAGCTACTCACCGGCCATTCTGGAAAGTTGAAGGGCATTGGATTAGGAACCACGTGAGGTGGGGTTTGAAATGCTGACCCGAAGAAGATGGTGTCCATACCAGCTGATATAGGTGAACCTTCATCTACTGGAACCAGACCTGTGTCAACCCGTCCGAGGCTGCATTCATCACTGGTGTTGGAGCTAGAACAGATGAAAATAGTTGCTACTTGAGGCCAAAGCTTAAAAACGTTACTAATGCTAGTTACCTAGTCGTACGATAAATATATTTGATCAATTTTGGACAATAAAGCCATATTCTTACTGGATGTGTTTCTAGTTGTCCTAAATTCGTTGTTGATGGGTTGATCAAGGCAAATGGTTACGTTTTCAAACTGTTGGAAATTGGAAAACCATGACCAAAGCTATACTTACTGTTCCAAACTATCGAGACAGAGTATAAATCTATAGGAAGGAGGCCCGGGGCACGGCACCTCGGAAAACCAGGGTGAATCATTAGTACTGTTACCAGCTGAGGAGTCGGTCAGTGATTGGTTCCTACTATCGATATATCGGAACTGAAATCTGTGAAATCTGATCTCCATGACTCCTGATGAACTTACATTCTAAAAAGAGGAAACGGAAGTAGTGTTTAGTGGTTGTTGAGGAACAAACGACTATTGGAGTCCCATCACAGTTATGAGGTAGCAATGCTTGATGATCATAATTTAAGTTAATTTGATCTGTTAACTCACCGTCACTTTTCATGGGCAACACAAACTATAGATGTTGACATATAATATTTTAATGACGTCCATGAGGAGCAACATATTTGCTTGACAAAACTGGAGAGCACATTCAGTTTTTTTTTCAGCCAAGAAAAATATTTAAATAAACAAAAGGAGCCTTACCTGAAAAATATTTGTTATTGCTATCAAAAGAATTAACCCGACCCATAACCGAGTATCCATGTCCTGCGTCCTCTAGGGTAAGATACCAGATCAATGTATGCAAGGACGGGATATGTTAACCGAAATCCAAATCACTTCCCAAATAATTTTTCCCGAGGCTAACTAAATCATAACTAATTAATCAATAGAGAACGTTACTCATTTTCGAATCGGAAGTAGTTTATGTCACGTGATAACACGATAACGTCCAATCAACGTTAAGCAAGCATGCTATTTAACCAATCATTACGTAGGTGAGGCAGACGTACAAGATGGCGCCTGAAGCGATATTGAAGTTTAATTTTATGTAAAAGAATTATGACAAGGATAAACAGCAAGTAATTAATTAGTCGGGCTAATTATCCGATTAATTAGAAGATAACACCAAGATGTATTTAGTCTTAACTTACAGGATGTGAAATAATACACAGGCCCATAAAATATCTCCCATTAAAATCTCCATATTTAAGAAGCTATATTAGTAGTCGACTAAATATCCCTTTTGAGAGGTGATACAGTTCCATCTTAGCTTTCCTGATCTATTCTGGTGTCTGAACTGTGGACAAACAAAATGCAGGGGGAGTATCAAATGGTAGAATACATCTGTAACCTTGCAATTCCCTTCAATATCAACTTTCAATGTTCAATGCATAAAACTGAATGAGAATTGTATAAATTCACACATTTATTTATTTATTTATTATCCCGCCCACACTCCACTGTATTTTCATCGATTGAGAGAGGCCTGTAACTACAGAGGCTTAAAGGGTTCGCCCCTCTGAAAAAATTCTGACAACCGACTAATTTCATTAAGGCAACTAAAGACTTTACCTCATTGCCCCACTTGGTATATCGACTCGTGTTATATATAAGCTCTTGGTGGGGAAAATAATAAAACGCTTTTCGCGCCACAGTTTCTAAATGCCGAATATGTTTTAATAATATGATACATAATGTCTGATGATTATATTCTAGTACCATCCTTGAGACGAACATTAAAAACTGCCAATGCCAATATACCTGAAACACACATAAAAATCAAATTAGGTGCTACAGGATGTAGATGTAGTGACGGCAGAATTTGTCAAAAAAAAAGAAAAGAATTTGTCAAAACAATCCATAGCACCCTGATCATTCTATTTGTTTCTATCACGAAGAGAAGTTTTGAACATAACATCTCTGGCTTCCAATCTCCCAACCTTCCGACCTCAATAGAACAGTCTAGTACAGAGGCATAATTGTATTCTATGAGCTTCTTCAAAGGCACCAAGATTTGGAAAAGGTTTGGAGTGGCAGTAGGATGTAACACTCTTTGTTTCAAAGCATCAAATATCCACCAAGACCTTACTAATATACACCTAATCGACTTACTGAGTAAAGGTAAGATACCAATAATAGGGAAAAGATAGAACCATCCTAGTTTGGACAGTATTAACGGCGCAGTGAGGCTGATACCTATAGCTACAGTACACTGAAAACATAGAATCAACAATTAAGTTAGAGAAATTTGTATGGATCGCCAGTGACTCAACTACTCTAGGGACTGGATGAACCAAGTCCACGGTCCCCCACCCCTAAGAGACATCCCACTCGAAGAAAAAAAGCAGAAGATCATATGCTTAAAAACATGTCCTAGGTAGGGACCCCAACCCACTTATCTGGTTGACCACCACTGACGATACCTGGTTATGCGAATTGGGATGGGAGGGGATTTTCTGCTGACCCACTTATCTGGTTGACCACCACTGACGATACCTGGTTATGCGAATTGGGGTGGGAGGGGATTTTCTGCTGAGTCCGCAACATCAACTCTGGTCAAAAAATCAAAAAAGTAATGAATAGACATTCTCATCGTTCACGAATTCACTTACATATCCAAAAGAAAGTATAGTTTGATTGCTGGACTGGTTTTCGACACCGTAACATCTCGGTATGGTACTTCTATATAATGGTTGACCTCCTCCCAGATGAACCATCAACAACACCAGCCATAGAGAGTACCCAGCCACACCCATATACTGCGTATAGTAGAAGGTCTCCAGTAGTACTACCAACACCGCACACATTGATATTAAACAGAGCTGAAAAAAGTACAAAAACTCTTTAAAGAACTTAGTGTTTATCCTCTGGAGAAGATCGTAAAGGGATCTACTCGTCAAGTAGAATGCATATCAGAGTGATCAACATGGAAAAAGGGCCAATTTCATTCTGTACCCAAATACTATACACCATTGGATATATTACTTGCCGACCTTAACGATCGTGTCTGGCTACGGGCCTTTCACAAAAGAAGATAATGAAAAAAATTCAGTGTAGTCTGGTGTTGGGGGATGATAGGCATGTCTTCCATTGACACAGAAACCATGTAGAAAATGCATGATTTGGAGGCTAAAAATGAAAAGTGTCTCTCCGAAGTGATGCAGGAAGTATCAAAGCCACTGTTCATATTGAAGAATTATTATAGACACACCTTATGGGATATCTTATCGGCCAAGATCCCGAATATGGGTCTAAAGATGGGAGCCATAAACCCAGCTACGCCGCCGATATTCGTCAGTATGGAGTCTTCTTTAATGAATTGTTCTCCAAACGACTGAAAAAATCAGGAATAACTAATTCAAAATTTGATTAGAAATATTGAAAACAGAACCTAGTAAAAACATGTTGTTACTCAGAGTTTCACGCTATGCCATCTTCCTACTGAAGTTGGACAAGTAGCACTCAACATTTGATTTTATTACATGTAGGACTGTATTTCAACTACACAATCCACAAAACTGTCGAGAAAAATATTTGATAGCCAAATTAGGATGGGAGAGTAGGACGTAAAACTCCATTGAACCTGAATGCTGTGCCGAGGTGCATTTATTTATAATAGCCGTTTCCCTTTGCTTTTTGCAATCGTGCTTATCGTATACCTGTACCTTATATGTGGCTGATACCACAAGTGTGGCTCCCAGATAAAACGAGGACGCTACCATCAAAAGATATGCTGAAGGCTGTCGAAGAACTTGCAATAAATTTAGGTTTGAAGCTGCATATGATTCCACATCAGTTCTGAAATTAACCACCTTATCCCTGTTATATCAATTAATTGATGGAAAAATCCACATAGCATATATAATACATATGGGGTAACTGTCGGAAAAAACTTTGATAAATAGAATTGAATTGGTGAATTCTGACACATATTTGGGACAACAACGCATTAGCCCATGTGATCTCTTAAAGAAAGGTGGAGATGAAAAAGTCATTTGTAAAGTGTCATTGTGTTTTCTATTAGTATATCTGAAGCGCATTATCATACCACATACAAAATCAATACAGAATCACAATGGGCCATCTATCTTGGGAACATCAACAACTGTAAAACTAAAAACAAATATATGTTATGGAGAGACATTCTTTGAATGAAGTGTGGAATACCCTATGACATTGGTCAGTTTTTATGTTGATCCAGATCTTGTGGACTCTCTCCTGGTCTCTCATAGACACATATTTTGCATAGCCTCGCCTCAAATTACACTAACTGGTAGGAGATATTAGGTTTCGGAATATGGTGGTGCAAATCCTTTGAAAGTAACATTACCTGTCTGTTTCTTTTGGAGACCAATGATCTGATTTTTCCAAAATAATTTGTTCTTCCTCGTCAGCTTCAGGGACAATGTAGATGAAAAAGATGCTAACAATTTGAACCAATACAGTAATAGAACCGAGCAGTAGAAATAAGTATGGCGTTCTGGCTAGGATACCTTCATCTGTAAATACACTGGAAGGTTGTAAGACATTATAAAATGACCAACAGGCCCGTAGTAATAAATCGACAATAATGTATTGGCTAAAAAGAATTTTGACAATCGATTTACTGCAACTAAACACCATACCCCATAGCCTCGGGATATATTACTTGCCTCTCCGAATAGAACAATCAATTCCGACCCTCGGTTGTTTTGGACTTTAGCTTATGGAATATGATTATGTCTCCCCTTTCAGATAGACGATCTAATTTTACTAACTTGATTGAGTTGATAGTTTTATTAGTCTTGATATCCTCGGGGTTGACATATTGCATGATGGCATTGTTCAGAACTAGAACACCAATACCACTACCAGTTGTTATCACACTTACACCAAACCCCATTCTATCTGGCATCCACTATAATATATATATATTATATATATATATATATATATATAAATACAGATACCAATATTAGCTACGTGGACTGAGGGGAGAGAAATTTGACACACCAGGACCCCCTCCGTCCAACCTGAAAAAATGGAAAGTTTTCACTGGAAAGCTTCCACGAAACAATTCTGACAATCGACCAATTTCATTACGATAACTATACACCATACACCATCGCCCCTCCGGATATATTACTTGCCCCTTCGGATATATCACTTGCCCCTCAAGATATATTACTTGCCCCTCAAGATATATTACTTGTCACTCCAGATATATTACTTGTCCCTCCAGATATATTACTTGCCCTTCAAGATACATTACGTGCCCTTCCGGATATATTACTTGCCCCTCTGGATATATTACTTGCCCCTCCGGATATATTACTTGCCCCTCCGGATATATTACTTGCCCCTCTGGATATATTACTTGCCCCTTCGGATATATTACTTGCCACCTCCGAACTATCAAGTCTACGGTCTGATGTTGGTATCAGACATTCAAGGTTGATCTGTCAGTTGAATTTTATAGTACATTCTTTACCTTTACTATAATCGATATAGTCACATTTATACACTGGGCAACGCCTATACCAGGTAGCAAACCAAAGGTGAAGGCCACTAGCCACATAGAATACTGTACAGAGAAATGAGTTGACAAGAAACCGGTGCTGAAAAAAGACAACGAATTCGTAGAATGTATAATATCTAAAAGACCAGTTTAGATCTCTATTGTCGTAAAATGAATGCGTGTCTGTTTTTCCTTTTGTTCCAGTATGCATAAAAAAAATGCATAAAATGAATCCGAATACCTAGTTTAGCTCTATGCAATGGCGGAGCCAGGTTTACGTCCGAAGGGGGGGGGGGCATATCTAATATAGATTGCCCGAATTTCTAACCTAGTTATGAGATTTTTGCCCGAAAAAGTTGCCTTAGGGTAGCGATGGGCGAATGACTCCTCTCCCCCCTCCCCCCATTTTGACTCCGCCTCTGGCTGATTATGAGTCAGTGTGCAATGCATAATAAAAATGTCTTTCTTTTTTGATAATTGAATTGCCAATAGCCTTGTGGTATATCAAACAAAAAATACTTATCGTATTTAAATAAAGTCAAAAAAATACTTTGTAACTGTTTTTTATATTGTAGGCTAAATCTGTTTTATTATTTATGTTTAATCAATGCAAAATCGAAACTGATTATCCTTTTTACATTCTATAGCGACTGGATGTTTTTATTTTTTTTGTGTATAAGCTGTCTCTTCTTTACATACTTATATACTTATTTGTGTGTGATGTTCGCCTTCCATTTGACCAATCGTATCTTCGTCTCAGAAACGTTTTTTTTTTAGCTAATCAGTAACAGTTTTCGTCGCAATTTGAACCTACAAATCCATGAACTATCCGCGTTTGAAAGTTAAAAAACGACTTTTCTTCAGACTCTGCCATATATTGAAAAGACATAAATAGAAATGAAAATGAAAATTCCTAGTTTGAGATTTTTTTTGAAGGAATTATGTGATTTTCGTTTAATTTTAGTACCTCTGAATACTATTTACATATATTCCAAGCCCAAATCATCCTCTAAAAATGACGAAGCTGTCACTTTAACTCTCCATGGCGATCGAAATATTGTATTTCGCCATCAGCTAAACTACTGCAATTAATCATAATTTCCCACAAGCGAAAAAAATACTATGTACGTCCTCAGATAATAAAATTGCCAGAAATAACAATGCCATTGATCGGGTATACTAGAAACTGCCATTTCAAGGTCGACCAGTTTCATTATCCCTTCTACTCATAGAATGTGAATTCCATTTCCGAGTCGTATCTAAAGCACCTGATTTCAAAGCCAATCTGTTCAGTCAATATCTCTCTATTGATTAACTTAGAAAGGTATCAGAAACCTGTGTTTGTTTTCAACCTGGGTTAGCTTACGATGAATACATTACAAATGATTGGTTCACGATCTGTAGCATTTCATCCGGACAAATGCTCTTTTTTATGAATTTTGGGAAAGAATATGTTGGTAGATTCAGTCATAACGTCCAAGGACAAAGTTAATTTGACCGTTGCATTTAGCAGTTGAACTTAAAATAGCACTTTAAAGGGTTAAACCATCCACATTTGTCAATACTTGTAAGGCTTCCAGACGTTGTACTGTAAATTTCAAAAATACGAAAAAAAGAAGCTGTAAGTTTTCCTTAATACCCACAGAAAGACCCACTACCCACACTATTTCTGGATATAGTTCTACCGACGTGGTATGACTTGAATAGTGTAAACAGAAGCTCTTCAAGTATTCCAGGTGTACAAATCTACAACATTTTTACCTCCCTGACAGACAAAGAGTTCCGAGTGCAGACAATAGGTGGATTCGAATGGTTCAAACAGAATCTCTTCAAGGCAGTAAAACAGACTGGAAGACATCATTGCATGGCCTACCTGATTAATATAACACCAACAAACATCATAAACCTCATTCCAAACTTCTTCTCAAAGTAGGAAGTCATGATTGTACTGATGAATCCAGCATAATACAAGCCGATGATCCAGACTTCGCTACCAATATTCGTGTCCTGGTATTTCCCCAAAGAATGGAGATAGGAGACTATATACGGTAACACGTTACCTGCAACAAAATATTTCAATCGATTGTGAAGTAGTCCTTAAAGGGATTGTAAAAAGGTTTTCACAAATTGCAAAATATGCTTTATCACATAAGGCTCTTTGTGATTAATGATTTCATCAACCATTTAGTATGAGTGGAATTGCAGGAACTACAGACATCTGACTGAAAATTAAAATGGTGCAAAGGGATTGTAAAGAGGTTTTTCTAAATATTTTGTGTGTATATCGGACGCTGAAAGCACCGATATGCACCATTCTAATTCTGACGTCTATGGTTTTAGCAATTCTCGACTTTTATTATACGTCACTATCACAAACGATGTATTTGTTACCTCGGGGAAATATTTAAAAGAGGCGGTAAATAGCTTTCTTTACTTCAAATGGTGCTTGGAAGTCGTGTTTTTTACTGGAGAACTCCTTTGCAATAAAACGCCTACAACTTGCAGACATCAAACCTTTACAGCTTAGAATACAAATATTTAAAAAAAAAATACTGTACCTTGTAAATAATTTACTCCCGTGGGAAATAGCATCAAAATGGATCCAGCTATAGTTGAATACTTCTTAAATTTTGTAGAAATCTTCATATCTGGCTGATTTATGTTGGAAAAAGAACAGATCCCTTTTGTCAATCCAAATCACAAAACCAGAATCAAAATCCAACTACATTGACAGTACACTTCATGTAAAATAAACACAGCTTTATGGAACAACAAGTTATTTTATAAAACGTTTTTCCCTCGTCGTCCTCAGGTACATAGTGATCAAAAGAAATAAGCAAACTAATTGTACCTGTGGTTTTGCAAATTAAGTATTCCTTTCTGAGAGTCCACAAAGCTAATAGGCAAACTATATATACGTTTTGGTTTGCAAATTAGGAATTTCTTTCAGAGTCCAGAAATGTCATACAAAAACAATTCTGAAAGCTATCGGTTTAATACCTGATTAAAATTTTGAATACTATCTCAAATCAGTGATTGTATTCAACTTTGAATGTTCATGATAAAAATATCGTAATACAATACAGATAGTGTTTTGACTGACTAATTTGAGAATTTGATACATTAAAATTATGATCTGTACCTTAAATAGAGTTTTATATCCTACTGTTCTGTATCTTATTGGACTAATGAAATGAAATGGAGTTTTATATCCTACTGTTTTTTATCTTATTGGACTAATGAAATGAAATGGAGATATATATCCTACTGTGCTGAACCTTATTGGACTAATGAAATGAAATTGAGTTTTATATCCTACTGTTCTGTATCTTATTGGACTAATGAAATGGAGTTTTATATCCTACTGTTCTGTACCTTATTGAACTAATGAAATCAAATATAGTTTTATATCCTACTGTGCTGTATCTTATTGTACTAATGAAATGAAATGTAGTTTTATATCCTACTGTTCTGTATCTTATTGTACTAATGAAATGAAATATAGTTTTATATCCTACTGTTCTGTATCTTATTGTACTAATGAAATGAAATGTAGTTTTATATCCTACTGTGCTGTATCTTATTGTACTAATGAAATGAAATGTAGTTTTATATCCTACTGTGCTGTATCTTATTGTACTAATGAAATGAAATGTAGTTTTATATCCTACTGTTCTGTATCTTATTGTACTAATGAAATGAAATATAGTTTTATATCCTACTGTGCTGTATCTTATTGTACTAATGAAATGAAATGTAGTTTTATATCCTACTGTTCTGTATCTTATTGTACTAATGAAATGAAATGTAGTTTTATATCCTACTGTGCTGTTTCTTATTGTACTAATGAAATGAAATATAGTTTTATATCCTACTGTTCTGTATCTTATTGGACTAATGAAATGAAATGGAGTTTTATATCCTACTGTTCTGTATCTTATTGAACTAATGAAATCAAATATAGTTTTATATCCTACTGTTCTGTATCTTATTGGACTAATGAAATGAAATGTAGTTTTATGTCTTACTGTGCTGTACCTTATTGGACTAATGGAATGAAATGGAGTTTTATATCCTACTATTCTGTATCTTATTGGACTAATGAAATGAAATGGAATTTTATATCCTACTGTTCTGTACCTTATTGAACTAATGAAATCAAATATAGTTTTATATCCTACTGTGCTGAACCTTATTGAACTAATGAAATGAAACGTAGTTTTATATCCTACTGTGCTGTACCTTATTGGACTAATGAAATGAAATGTAGTTTTATGTCTTACTGTTCTGTATCTTATTGAACTAATGAAATGAAATTGAGTTTTACATCCTACTGTTCTGTACCTTATTGGACTAATGAAATGAAACGTAGTTTTATATCCTACTGTTCTGTATCTTATTGGACTAATGAAATGAAATGGAGTTTTATATCCTACTGTTCTGTACCTTATTGAACTAATGAAATGAAACGTAGTTTTATATCCTACTGTTCTGTATCTTATTGGACTAATGAAATGAAATGTAGTTTTATGTCTTACTGTGCTGTACCTTATTGTACTAATGAAATAAAATGGAGTTTTATATCCTATGTTCTGTATCTTATTGGACTAATGAAATGAAATGGAATTTTATATCCTACTGTTCTGTACCTTATTGAACTAATGAAATCAAATATAGTTTTATATCCTACTGTGCTGAACCTTATTGGACTAATGAAATGAAATGGAGTTTTATATCCTACTGTTATGTATCTTATCGGACTAATGAAATGAAATGTAGTTTTATGTCTTACTGTTCTGTATCTTATTGAACTAATGAAATGAAATGTAGTTTTATATCCTACTGTGCTGTATCTTATTGTACTAATGAAATGAAATTGAGTTTTACATCCTACTGTTCTGTACCTTATTGGACTAATGAAATGAAACGTAGTTTTATATCCTACTGTTCTGTATCTTATTGGACTAATGAAATGAAATGGAGTTTTATATCCTACTGTTCTGTACCTTATTGAACTAATGAAATGAAACGTAGTTTTATATCCTACTGTTCTGTATCTTATTGGACTAATGAAATGAAATGTAGTTTTATGTCTTACTGTGCTGTACCTTATTGGACTGATGGAATGAAATGGAGTTTTATATCCTACTGTTCTGTATCTTATTGGACTAATGAAATGAAATGGAATTTTATATTCTGCTGTTCTGTACCTTATTGGACTAATGAAATGTAATGTAGTTTTATATCCTACTGTTCTGTACCTTATTGGACTAATGAAATAGAGTTTTATATCCTACTGTTCTGTACCTTATTGGACTAATGAAATGAAACGTAGTTTTATATCCTACTGTGCTGTATCTTATTGGACTAATGAAATGAAATGGAGTTTTATATCCTACTGTTCTGTATCTTATTGGACTAATGAAATAAAGTATTTATATCCTACTGTTCTGTACCTTATTGAACTAATGAAATGAAACGTAGTTTTATATCCTACTGTTCTGTATCTTATTGGACTAATGAAATGAAATGGAGTTTTATATCCTACTGTGCTGAACCTTATTGGACTAAGGAAATGAAATGTAGTTTTATGTCTTACCGTGCTGTACCTTATTGGACTGATGGAATGAAATGGAGTTTTATGTCTTACTGTGCTGTACCTTATTGGACTAATGAAATTGAAGAACAAAAAGAAGAAAAAACATAATAGCCTGGTTTCGGATACTCATGTGCAAAAAATTATTATTTATTTTTTCTTCAAATCTCGTTTTCTTATGAAACACAAAGAGAAAATTAATTATTGAAATATGATTATTGAAGAAAAAAGAACGTTTGTTCTCGGCGTTGTTTTAATTGATTATTTTTACTGAAAAAATTCCAATCATAAAAAATCTCGTAACTGCCTCGGTTCTAACAAACCTTTCATACTGCTTATAAAGATCAAAATCAAACATAACTAGGCTTGTCAACTCAGCATCTCTTTTGGAGAGTCCACGTAGCTAATAATGTTTATTTAGTATTTAGATTTGTTAACTCGAAACCCCTTACAGAGAGTCCACATAGCTAATAATGTTAATTTGGTATTTGTGTTTATCTACTCGACATTCCTCTCAGAGAGTCCACGAAATTAAAAACGTTTAATTGGTAGACTATACATGTTTTTGGCAAATTGTGCAAATAAGGCATCACTTTCAGAGAGTTCATAAAGCTTACAGTGCTTAACTTGTACTTAGAATTTATCACCTTCAGAGAGTCCACATTCTTAGATGGAAACATGGTACTGCTTCGCCTGGCTAGAATATAAAAACTATAATTAAAACATCAGTTGTTATTGAAATCGATAAAGGTATTGTCTTAGACAAAGGCTCTTACTTCTAAGCTATTTAAGTATTCCATTAAAACTCGATGTTACTCTCCGACTACGTTTGTCAATACAGAGAGTCCACATAGCTAATAATGTTTATTTGGTATTGAGGTTTATCAAGTCAGAGTCCCTTTCAGGGAGTCCACATAGTTAATAATGTATATTTGGTATTGAGGTTTATCAACTCAGCATCCCATTCAGAGAGTCGACAATGCTAATAATGTGTATTTGATTATGGGTATATCAACACTGCACACCCTTCAGATCTTCTTTCATTGGAGAGCTCCAATTCAATTTGTCAGTCTGGTCAACTATTATATATAAATACGAATTTGGTATTTCACAAATGAAAGTAGACCAGACTGATATATATATATATATATATATATATAACACGGATATTAAGAGAAATCAGGCGTGAAATACCAAATTCGTTTTAAGGAATTATACGTGAAATGTCGACATGTCAAGCTATTTAAGGTCGATGCAGCGTAATAATTTCTTCAGATTTAGACGAAGCGACTCACTTAAGCGTGAACAAAGCAATAATGGCTTATGAGATACTTTTAGCTCTACGTTCAAGCTTAATGATTTTGATTAAACATAAATGTCTCCGATACTTATTTATGATTGAAATACTTCCTCATATGAAAAGTTCATTAGCTGTAACAATGTTTTGCCAATATGTTGTTTTGGATTTTCGGTGTCGTTTTGCTATTTGGATTGCGGCTTATGGTCTGTTTTTACTTAAAAAAAACTTTTCACCTATGCTGAAATTGTTAGGTACAAGAACGTAAAACTCCATTTTCAGCTCACGTTTTATGCAATGGCGTATTTTAGGATTTAAATATCTATTTCCGTTACGTTCACGTCCAACGCTCCTGCAAGCAATTTTACCATTTTTTAAAACATGTGCGGTTCAGTGCTTGCAAACCTTATATCCATAATATCTTTTCAATCGACCATTGTTTATTTTAAAGCCTTTTATGGAATGGACTACGTTCCTTACAGTTGGCTGACATCGATTGTATTTTGAAAATCTATTATGTCTTTTATTGATGATAAACTTGTATTATCTTGTTTAAGCCCGCGTCACATGGAATCGGTTAGGGTGGGTTATTATGGTTAGGATGAGTTAGGATGGGTTATAATGGATGAGGATGGGTTAGGATGGGTCAGGATGGTTTATAATGGATTAGGATGGGCTAGGGTGGGTCAGTATGGGTAAGGATGGGTCAGGATGGGTTAGGATGGGTCAGGATGGGTTAGGATGGGTCAGGAG